AATTTTTTTTGTAATCAACACTCAGTTTGAACTATATCACTTTAAAATTCCGTCACATCTATAAAATGTTTTAAATTTTATAATATAAAAATATGTTTACATGATTAAACTTCAGTATGATATGTGTATATACGAGTATTTATTGAATTTGTCTATATATTGCAAAATTACGTGTGAGGTTAGGGATAGGGATAGGGATAGAGAAGGGCAGAATAGGCTGTAGGTTCCTTTAAAATTATTTTTCTAAAAATCATTCAAAATCAAAAATATTTTAAAATTAATTAATCAAAACTGTAGTTTCAAAGTACCTTATACTTTGTGAATAATATGTTTATTGTGGTTTCTTATACAAATAAAAATATGAACTGCATGTCTAAAATTTTTTCCAATTATTAAAAACTGATTGTATTGATTTATTAATACATTGTTAATATTAATTTAATTTACTATTAATATTAATACTAAAATTCCAAACAAAAACAATAAAATTTGAAAAAAATAGAATATTCTCATAACTTCCAAACATTCCGTTGACTATGGCGCACGAGTACTTTTGTGTAGTGTTTTTATAATAAAATTAAAGTATACTCTTATTATTTTATACATATTATTTTTATACATATTAATTTTATACATATTATTTTTTAATATTTTTAAACAAATACTCATAGATCAGAACCATTCTTCTAAAATATTTAATTTTCTTCTTCATTCTTCAGTTGAAAATTTGCTTTGCTGTTGCGGCGCTGATATTCAAAATTAGCTCCTAAAATTTTAAATTGCATTGCAACACTGTTTTTTTTACTACTTTTCCTTTTTTGCTTTTCTATTTATGAGCTTCACTTCAGTTACATTGAAGTTGGTTATTGCCTTTGTTAATTTTGTTGTTGTTGCTTTTAATATAATTTTACTGTTATTGTTTTTGTTTTTGTTTGCTTTCGTTTTATTTTAGTGTTTTGTGGTCACCAAGTTTAAACATTTTGTGGAAGGTTAATGTGGCGCACACTTCTATTTTACTTTAAAGTTAATTAAATTGCAAAAATTGTCACTTAAAAAAATAAATGTTGCATAAAAATTTTATTTTTGATAATTATTTATTATTACATTTAAGATCCGAAAGTGTTATGAAATGAAATTAATATTTTATAATTGATTTACGTATATATAACAACCAACTAACAACCAACACAAAGCTTATGTGATTTATAGAGTCACATAAAGGGCATAAGCGATTATATGACTAGAATGATATAGAGAATATTATATTATTAATATTTTTTATAACCAAATCAAAACAAAACATAATTATATAACAATTAATATTTAATATAATTAATTGACTATTATCAAGATGAATGACTTTTGGGATGTTCCAGTTGAACTTCAGCATTTGAGACGACAATATTTTTTTTCTTTTTCAAACTAAATTCTATTAAACCGAGAGATTATACGACTTGAATAATATAAAATACTATACTATATATATTTTTATAACTAAATCAAATGAAAATATAATCATATAACAAATAATATTTAATATAATTAATTGACTATTATTAAGACGAATGACTTTTAGAATTTTTCAGCTGAACTTCAGCTTTTGACACAACTATATATATATGTATATGACTTTAATAATATAGAAAATTGTACAATATTTACTCTTAACAAGTTGAATGACACTTAAGATCGGGGTAGTCCAGTTGAAATGCAACGTTTTCAGAAGACTATATTTATTTTGTATTTCCAATTATATTCTATTGTGTCGATGGAAAAAATATTGGAAAATAATAAAACTTTCCAAATTAGTTTCAAATTTTTAATATAGCCGCAGATAGATGCATTACAGAGCCCACTCATCCTCACTTCTTAACAATTCCTTCCTCTCTGCCACTACTAACACGACGTATCCACATCCTTATATATATATACATTTGTAATCATTTACAAATTATCTACGCAATAAATATCTGAAATATCCCATCTATCCCTAATACACACTCACTCCTAAAAAATTCTCTCCCTTCTACTATCTATCATCACCTATCCACATCATAACTCTAGTATATAGCTTCGTAATTTCTTTAACATGACTCTGAAACAATCGATAAATGAATGTAAACTGGTTGGATCTACTCCGTATCACAAAATAAGATTTTTTTGAGCACATCAACACCCTAGTACTTCTTAGTGTTTATTTTGTCTTTTTTGTTTATGTCATGCTCCATACAGTAAAGCCTAACTTTGTATAGAAGAAATTTAGAAATTAATTAATGCTATTAATATCTATTAAAATTATTTATAAAAATTATTTTAACTGGGCTTAAGGTGTGTATATATTCCTATTAAATATATTGTTTAATAGCCTATAACAGCCTATAATAAATATGTTTATGCAGATCTTTCGCGAAAAGTCCACTGCCTATATCTTTACAGTCAGATAAAATGGTTCGATTTTTGCCTAAAAACGAAAGTGTCGACAGCCATGTGTCTCTTGAACCTTGACATTAATTTTTTTTTGCCAAAATTGAGAATAGGGGAGATGCAGTCAATATTTTTTTTGAGTAGAATAAAAAAAAACTAAGAACGGAGCCGTAGACGAAATTGCGAATAGAAGGGCTAGAATATAATTTAAATGTCGTGATTCAGTACTATTGAAAAACCTAAATATTTCTCAATAATATAATTAAAAACCTGAAATATTTTTTTGTGGCCGGCACAACATTTTGGCTTGGAAATACTGATCTATGCTTTTTCTGCTTCTTATTTGCCACTACAGTCCAGTGTGATCCTTGGCCTGCCCCACGATCTGCTTCCATCTGTACCGATCTTTTGCTACTCTCTTTCAGTTCAGTACTCCAATCTTTCTTGGATCTAGGGTATCTATAGATATATAATTTTTATGTGATTTATGTTATTTGATAATAAATTCAATTTACTTTACATCTATACTTTCATTTATAATCATAAACCATTTTTAAAATTATTCATAACTAAAATTGTAATATTTTTTGGATTATCAATAATTTTTATTTATAAAATTAAATTGCATTAATTAATCAGAATTTAAATTCTTTATTAGAACTAAAATTACACAGTAATCAGATTGTCACAACTACAAACAATCCAGCAACATGCAAAAAGTGGATTAACATTAACTCCTATTGCGCTCTGTACTGTAACAGTACAGTAGTAAACAAATGTTAATCCACAAAATATTTAAGTACTTAAACGCAGCTTGACTTTGTGTTCTACGCTATGCCTTCCTGTTGTGTTTAGCATATGTAAAAGCAGGACAATTAGATGATGCTTTACACTATTCACACTAGCCTGAGGTCATAGTAATGTGCATGGTTGTGTATTCATAGCCACGCTTGATGATTTTGTTTTTAAGTGCCAATTTCTGTTAACAAAAATATTTTATTGCATATAATTTGTATTCCCTTGTATAGGCATATGTGTGTATATGCATGTGTATGTATGGTATGTGCGTATGTAGGAAAATAAGATAAATGCTTATTAATGTCAAAAGCATACATAAATATGATTTTAATTCGCTATTTATCGACATATTATCGATAATACGAAAAATGTCAGTTTATTTAGAAAACATTTGAAATGCAAGCAAAAATAAAATATTTTTGTCTACAAGTCCAAATGCTATTTCAACAGCCTAGTAGAGGAGGCAGCAAACACAATGCAAACTAAAATACAAAACAGAGTGTTTTATTTTTGCCAACATTTCTAGACACTTGCGCTGAGCTGCGCTACGCTGCTGCGCTGCGCTGCTTTGTACTGTACTGTGCTATGCTGCGATATATTGGCGCTACGCTTAACTAAACATTTTGCTGCTTTGTCTATCGCTACTCTAACAATCGTGTGCACAACCACCACTACCACCCCACCCGGCTATGTTTACACCAGATTCTCGTACGTATACTTCATTCAGTGTATATTCATAGTGATTTGTACACATTTTGCATTAATTAAAAACTGATTTAATTGATTGTTTTGAATAACACTACGTTAAGCTTAATATATGCTATGCACTATGACTGCTTGCGCGCATACACACACATACATACACGTGTGCACTGCTCTGGCGTTGATAAGTGTGTAGTGTGTTGTTTTTTAATAGTGTGTAGTGTTGGCAGAGATGTGAAGTGCATTGTGCCAAAGCTCTTTTCTTCTACACTAAACTTAACTAAACTGAACGCTTAGCAAGCAGCAGCATTGCGTCATTATGCTTCTTTCTTCTATTCGAATTTATATTTGACGCTGTAAATTGTTTTTGCACCCAACGTAGACTCCAGCGTAGTCGAAGGTATAAGTACGTCATAGATTTATTAATATTACAAACCGGCATCTATAGGCATAAGATGTGTACGGCGGGGGTGCAATACGGAGTAGATATTTATTATTAAGTACCTTTTTACGTTACGCTTTGTTTATTTCTTTTATACTGTTTTTTTTTCCTTTTTGCAATAAAAACAAAAAGTGTTTGTTGTTGTGTTTTTTGTTTCATCAATGTCATTTATTTTAATTATGGAACTTTGTGTTTTTGTAAAACGCATTAAATAATTAAATAAAAAATATAAATAAATATAAGTTTTAATATCTTTGTATGGATTGCAAAATAATTTACTAAATAACTGCACTCAACAAATTTATTAAAAATTTATATATTATAAATATGTTACATTTTTTTTTTATTTTATTCATTTTTTTTATTTTATTCATTTTTTTTATTTTATTCATTTTTTTTATATTATTTTTTTATTTTTTTTTATTTTATTAATTTTTTTTTATTTTGTTGCAATTTTTTTTTTTGTTCTTGAATTTTTTTTTTTTTCTTGTCAAATTTTTTTTCTTGTCAAATTTTTTTTATGCCAATTTTTTTTTTGACTTGCAAAATTTACCAAACACGACATCAATAAAATATGTTACAAAAAATTAATTATTTTTTAATATTTAAATGTGTTTTTTTTTTTCCTAAAAAGTACTTTATATGCAATAAATCAAAAGCAAAGATAAAAATAAATAAAAAAAAATATGTTCGTTAAACGACAAAGTGTATGTTTGCTGCGAAAAATGCAACACTGCATCGTTTCTACTACAGTCAAAAGCGCGCGACATCCAATCAAACAATAAAAAACAGTGTTTAATATAAATAAAAATATTTAAGGCGTAATTTTTCATCAACTTAACTCATTAAAAAAACTATATGTGCTGTCTAATTCTGTCTTCTTAAATTAATTAACTTTAATGAATATTTGGGTAAATATAAATAATAAATCTAAAACTTGTAGACATTAAATATTTTAAAATATGTTTTATATTTTAATTATTTTTATAAATTTTTGTTATTCTTATTTAAAAAACGTATTTTATTGTCACTATAGTCTATAATAATCTTCAGGGTACTCTAAAGTGTTTTTAACGTGCTCTGAAGAACCTTCAGAGTACTTTGAATTATCTTCAGGGTACTATAAATTATCTTCAGAGTACTCTGAAGTATATTCAGGGTACTCTGAAGTATATTCAAGGTGCTCTGAAGTATATTCAAGGTATTCTAAAGTATATTCGGGGTCCTCTGAAGTATATTCAGGGTATTTTGAAGTACATTCCGGATACTCTGAATTATATTTAGGGTACTCTAAAGTATATTCAGGGTAGTCTGAACTATATTCAAAGTATTCGGAGGTATATTTAGGACACCTGCAGTGTATTTATGGTATCTAAAGATTATTTAAATTTAATCAAATTTATTAGTATTATTTTTTAAAATAAAAAAATTTTAAAAGAATTCTGTGATCATTTTTTTATATATTTTTTATATATACATATTCAATTCTATAAACCAAATAAAACTCATTAAATTTAAAAAATATTTTTTATCTTATTTTTTATTATAGCAACAAAAGTTTTTAAAACGACCAGCGGACGATGTCGACAACGGAGCTGAAAACTTTGAACCTCCACATAAACTGCCAAATAATAATAACAACAATAATAACGGCTCTGAAAATCTTACAAAATTCTCTGTAGAAATTGTACAACAATTAGAATTTACAACCTCGGCTGCCAGTTCACAACCTCAACAAATTAGTACGAATGTTACAGTGAAGGCACTAACAAATACATCAGTTAAAAGTGAACCAGGTGTTGGCGGTGGTGGTGGCGGCGGTAACGTCGGCAATCCAAACGATCCTCAAGGAGGAGCCGGCATACCTAATAATGGTCGCGGAGGTGGTGGTAATAATAATGGCATGGGTACACATATGGGTGGCGGTAATCCAGGACAAGGCGGTGTTGCAGGCAGCAACCTAATGGGTGGGCATAATAATTCGAATACGGCGCAACAACAACAAAAGGCAACGCTGGGTGGACTCGGTAATTTGGTTGAGTGCAAGCGTGAGCCTGAACATGATTTTGCCGATCTGGCAGGCCTAAAAGAGGAAGGTGGTCCAAATGGCAATTTCCCCGGTTTTCCGGATCTTATGGGTGACGATACAACAGAGGGTAATGATACCTTTAAAGATCTCATCAGTGATTTACAGGATTTCAACCCTGGTTTTCTTGATGGTTTTGATGAAAAGCCATTGTTGGATATAAAAACCGAAGATGGCATTAAAGTGGAACCACCAAATGCACAAGACTTAATTAACAGTTTAAATGTTAAGTCTGAGAATGCTATGGCACAATTCAATGCAGCATTTGGTGGTGGTCCACTAAATAGTAATCCAAATGTGGGTGGTATGCCCGTTGGGTCAATGGGTGGTGCAAATACTGATACGCAAGTGGGCATGAACAAAATGCGTTCACAATTTCAAAATGGTCCGAATAATGGACCTATGTCAGAACTCTCATTGGCAGCGGCACAAACACTTAAACAAATGGCTGAACAGCATCAACATAAAAATGCTATTGGTGGCATGAGCTACCCTAGACCACCGATGCATCAGCCACAACAAAATCAAATGATGGGTGGTCCCAATGGTCGTTACAATGAGTATGGTGGTTTTGGTAATGACTTTATGGGTCCTAATGGACCACAACAACAACAGCAACAGCAGCAACAACAACAACAGCAGCAACAGCAACAACAACAACAACATTTACCACCACAATTCCATCAAAAGGTACCTGATGTTGTGCCAGGTGCTGGTGTTAATCAATCCTTCCTCGATATGAAACAAGAATTTTATTATAACTCACAAAATGATTTCGATCTCAAACGTTTACAACGACAGACACAAATGCTTCAACAACAACATCACCCTCACGGTCCACAACAGACACATGCAAATGGTCCAAAAATGGGTCCACAAGTGCCGAGTGGATTTCCAAAGCCTGGTCAAACGCAATCTCAACAACAAAATAATCCACAACAACAATACTCGCCCTATAACTCACCTATGGGACCAGCCGGAAATCAAAGTCCAGCCGGTACCAATTTTATGCAGGGTCCACCACGTGGTGGCGGTCCTGGTGTAGGTCCTAATGCAACAGGTGGTTCATCAAATGGTCCACCTAATATGTCAGCACAACAAATGCCAACGCAACAACAACAACAGCAACAGCAGCAACAAACGAATGCACAGCAACGAGCAGGCGCACAAGGTGGGCCACAAGTAGGCGGTGCTGCTGGTACAACACAATCCACACAAAATGGTCCTGGTATGGGTACTAATACGCAACAAACTGGACCAAATATGCAACAACAGCAACAAAATGCAACAACAACAACCTTGCAAATGAAACAAACACAACAGTTGCACATAAGCCAACAGGGTGGTGCGCATGGTATACAGGTAAGTTCAATATTTTTTTGTTATCTGAAGATTTTATATATTGTAGTGTCTTAAAGGCTATATATTGTTAATTAGAAGATAAAGCAACTTATTTTTAAATACACTGAATGATGAAGATAAATTATAAAATTTTAAATATTGAAATAAGTAAAATTATAATAAATAACCTTTAAGTCGTCAACATGTGGCTCTTTGCTCTTCATATGTTCTACGAAAACTAATGTAAGTCATCAACACACTTTTATACTTTGAATACTTAATAGAAATATAAATTAGACAGCTATAAAAGTCTGAAGTATAGTGTAACAAGTTTACTTTCTTTACAGCTTTAGTTCAAGAAATACAATTTTAAACATTGCTTAAGCTCATAAAAATACCTTCTATGAAACTTAACTATCTGGTATCGCTAGTGACCAATTGCTCTTTATAAGGGCCAAATACATTAATCTAAAATGACCTATGGAAGAACATATCGATTACTTAAAAAAAAAATTATCCAAAATGTACGATTTACAAAGTTCATTAATATGCATTAAATTTCCACCATCAGTAGTGCAGAATTTATTTAAAAAAGCCTGTTTATTAAAAATAAATTATCTAATAATACATATTTATAGTATTCCAAAATATGAAATAGGTTTTTAGAAAAGTTTTTTTTCGACAGTTTGTCAGGTTGGTTATCGTTAAGGACGAAAGATTTGTTATATTACCTCAATTCAAGGAGATCGATTTAGTTTTTATTTTCCTTTAATCTTTAAAGATTTCTTGCAAGAAAAATATGTTAGTAAAATGTTGAAGAATTTCAAATTATAGATAGTGGAAGTATATCTGCTGGCCAATCAAGGAGGGGGAAAATCAAATGCGGCTGAAGTACTGGGAAAACTTCCCAGGACTTAGACAAAGCAAAGCACTGATATCACCGTTGCTAACGGATTTCTTTACAGGTTATTATGATTAAAATACCACCTTTATAAACTACAACTACCTGCTAACTCGAAATGCAGATTATGCCTCGAAGATGAGGAAACTACTATGAATATTCTTTGTGAATGCTCAGAAAAAACTTGTTTTATATGAAACTTCTGTCATCAGAACAGATTAAGAACTTTTTTCTAGATTTAGTTCTAGACTTTATTCACAAAGCTTTAAGGGGCTTCGTGTAATCAGTAGTGAAACTGGTACAATAGGACTCTTCTGGTCGCAGTACCGGCTGTTGGGCGATTTCACGTTTAAACTTTTAATAATAATAATATCTGCTGGCCCAATCATCAGATATTTTTTCATAAATACTAATAAATGCACATATTGTAAAAATATTTTATATTAGGGCATAGTTTATTAAGGAAATCTTAATCTCATTTTCTAGTAAACGCTGACAAATATGCATATTATTATAATTTTTTTAGTAGGGCATATTTCCTACGAAAATCTGTATCCTATCTTTTATTAAAGGCTAACGGATTGCATATCAATAGTAACTTTTTAGAGTATTATTAAGGAAATCTGAATCCCATCTTCTAACAAACTCTGAAGGATATTCATATCATTATATATCATTATATTTATAGTAAGGCATAGTTTATTACGGAAATCTAAATCTGAACTTCTAATAAATGCTAATGAATTTCCATAACATAATAATTGTTTATAGTAGAGTATAAATTATTAAGAATATCTAAATCCCATCTTCTAATAAATGCTGATAGACTTCTTTATCATATCATTTTAAATAAAACAATTTACAACCTTAATGTAAATAATTAATATCATGTTTTTCATATACATAATAAACTTTAAATTCTCTTTACCTAATACGAGTCTATTTTATAAATGATAACTGTTTAATTAAAACTTAAACTATCCTAATTACTTTAATGAAGTGTAGAATTTACGTAAAAATACCCTAACGATTTCCTGAGCTGAGCATAAGGTATTAGCACCATAACTTCAACCTGATAGAGATTCTTAGAACACTGACTGACATCTCTATTTACGTTTCTTTTAAATGGGAAAAATCGTATGAATTCCTGACACAAGCTTTTCTCATTTGTTTACATTTTACTTTTAAATGTGCCTGAAACTACCACCCAACAAACTACATGCTCCCACTCACTTGGTTTTCTCTCTCTTTCTCTCTAACTCTCACTACACGGTTTACACAGAAGTGTTGTTGTCGTTTACAGCACAAAGTCAAAATAAATGTATTATTTAAGCTTTTAACATTTTCAATTACTTAACTCTCGTAAGCTTTAACACAAAATCCACTCATTTCACCCGCATTAACTCGGTCGTTTAACAGTCGTGAGGTTGTCGTGTAAGCGAACAACAACAACACCCATAAGTGTAATGCGACGCTCCATGAACTGTTGATGTACAATATGCATGTGCGGCGCTTTACAGTAGAGGAAGTACAAAAACAAAAAAAAAAAAAACAACAACAACAACAACAAAACGAAGAAAGCCAACAAACATAAAAAATACAATAGCAAACAAAGTATTATTGTCATTTGTATATTAACCTAGTGGATAATGCCTACATTGTCGTGCTCAATCTTCAATAACTGCGGCCACTATAACGAACCATTAACTTCCGTCTCTTTCTCTGTTTCTGTAGATACAGCAGTACATATATCACATGAAAATGGTCGGTGTAGTTGCTTGTATCCATCCGACCATTATTGTAAAATATCGCTTTAATATAGCACATCTATGCGAAATTGTTTAACGGCATAAAACAGGAGTCCTGTTATTTTGTCTGAATTACATATGATGATGTCGCCAAATGATTCTGTACACGGCATATCCTAATTTATATTGGTTAGTATCCAGCCTACATTTGTTGTAGATATTGAAAAACTATTTTGCACAGCCTTAAGGTGGCCTTTTTTAAATGTGCTTGAAGTTAATAAAATAATTTTCAATAATCCTTTATCCAAGAAATTGTTTTTTTTTCCTGTTAAACAATTTTTATAGGCATTTTGTATTTCCTTAAATGTCCTGGCTAGTTTTCCTTAAACATTTTGTTGAACATATCCGTTCATCAGTTGAAGTTGCAAGCAGAAGCCGAAGCCGAAAGCTGCTCTTGGCAATAATAAAATCTTTTCCTCGTAACAACTTAGAGCAGTAGGTATAGCACAAGGCAGTGTTCTGGAGTCCCGTACAAATGTCCAAAGTTTTTAAGTTGAATTTCGTGTAGTGTTAAGTGTTAGTAAATCCAAAAAGTTGGTCCACTTCTAAACCCCCAACGAGTAGGTAAGGTATTTTATATTTATGTAGTTTTTAGTTCAAAGTTGAGAACATTGAAATGCTTCAATAAACATGAAATTAAAGCAAGCAAAGAGTTTCCTTGATTATGCTGCTGGAGCAGCAGCAGCAGCAGCATACCACCGGATTGAACTCAGTCAGCAGTTTTGAGCAAATGCTTTAATTTACATCTACTGTTCCACATGCCAGCATGTTATTGATGCCACAGGAAGTTTAATTAAATGTCCTCACATGCCAACATTAATCTAAAAGCTTTTTGTGCCGTACTATCCCTTCGTCGTTAGCTTGTGCCGTGCCTGCAGTGCCGTGCCATTTGTAAAAGCAACTAAAGTTTCGACAGGCGCTTCTCAAATCGGTATCCAAAATATATTTCGACTTGATGGTCGTCTTATTCGATCAATGGACTCACTCGTAAACCAAAAAGTTTAAAGAAAATTGAAAATTCAAGATGCTTATTGGTAATAAAAAGCATTAAAGTTTTTGACATATCCTTAAATGTAAAATAGCAATTGAACATTTTTTATATTTTAGGTAATATTACAAAATACTTTTGAAAGTAAAATCATTTATTTCTTCTGGTACAGCACATTTTTGTATGACTATTTTGCTTTAAAATCATTTACTCAGTTACTTTATTTTACTCAGTTTATATATTAATTTAACTCCTTTTAAGAGCATAGAGCCTCGGTAACACACATAGTCTTATTCTATTCAAAGTCTGATGGTATCAAAAATAAACGTAAATAACGTTGAGATTTTAATAAAATTTTAATATAATTATATTATTTGGACCTTGTTAGACAACAACATTTAAATATTCTCTTTGTGCCATCTTACAGTGTTTAATCCATTTCAAGTAATTGTCAATGATTTATCTGGCACATATCTGACAATAGTTCAGATATACCTTGAGAAATGTTTGTTATCAAATGTCCATTAAAGAACATGTTCCGGTACTTTATCCTTTTAAGGCAATTTTATATATTTTTTCGGCACATATCTCGCCAAAGTTTCTAAAAAACACAACATCATTCAATAATCTATCACAGGACGTACTAATTCCTTTTAATGAAATGCCTCAACCATAACGTGACAGATATTTGTAAAGATATATAGAATCATTCAAATGTCCACCCCACGACATATTTCAGTAGTAGATCCTTTTTAGGTACCTTTCGATTAATAGTCGAGACATATCTGGCAATAGTTTGACCACTACTTCACAAGAAATAGAAAATCATTCAAATGTCTAATACGGGATACTGTACAGCACTGGATCCTGTTAAAATAATTTTTAATGAAATATATATAAGACATATAGGATTATTCAAATATCCCCCACACGACATATTCCAGTACTAGATCCTTTTAAGGTAGTTTTCGATGATTTATCAGAACATATCTGGCAATAACTCGACCACTACTTGAAAATTATTCAAATGTCGCATACGGGACATAGTATAGTACTGGATCCTGTTAAGGTAACACATCTATATCTTTAATTTCACGCTAAAAAATTGGTAATCTTGGATTTTGCGATCTGAACACAGTTTGTGTCATACCTTCACCATTTTCAATAAAGTACGGGTCGAATGGATCTCCAGAACTTATGTTATACCATTCACTGACTTTTTATGAATTCAGTGGCGTTTCAGCAGTTATTTGTAAATTTTCTCTGCCGCGAATAACATAATTATGTGTGTTTCAACGAGAAATGATTTACGTTACTGAACAAAATTTTTCTTATTGTTTGAGTTGTAATTTCAAAAACCAACTCTCTGTTTTTGGAGAGATAATAGTGAATCCACAAATTTTAACCCGTTTCATTTAAACCCCTTTAACACAGACTTAAAATGTATCCGTTATTACGTTTGTGAACTAAGCTTAACAAACGCACTTCCGTGCGACTGTTGTCCATTAGACACACTTCTTCAATTCTTTAGTTAGAGACTACAGATGTTGCCTTTTGAGAAAGGGTTTTCATTAAT